CTGCTGCACCGCCACCTGTCGGCGACGGCCGGAACCAGCGGCAACCGGTGCACAGTAGGCCAGAAGACCGGTGGAAGCGGCCAAAACGCTAGACGCGCTTTGAGCTTCAGAGTCGCGAAACAGGACTCGAATCGAACGTTCCTCGTTCGGAGAGCAATCCATTGGTGGGGTCACACACGTTAGGTTCGAGTGCAGCTGTGCCAGAGCACTCGACGGTCCGACGGCGCGGCGCGGGGACTTTTTGACTTGTTGCATGTGCCCCCCTCCCCTCCCCCGCCGGACAGCGAGCGGCCTTGCGGACAAAAAGGCAAAAGCCAAGCCCCACCGTGGGACTCTCTCAAACGCATAATTCTTGACCCGCTCTGCTCGTAATTGAACCCGGGCATGCCGCGCACCGCAGTCCGCGGCACGGAAGCCGTGGCCGCGGCCACCACACTGCTTTGCGAAACCCCGCGCCACGAAACGCCTTGCCCCGGGGCACAGAGGCAGGGGAGGGGGCAAAAGAACCCCCTGACCACTGGAAAGCCCCCTGAAAGGTAGGCAAAAGTCAGTGCCCCTGTCAGTGGGCCAAAAGTACTGCTTTGTCCATGCCCCTCAGGCCGCCACTGCTGCCCCTCCTGGGCGGGGAGCGCGTTGCGGCCTGCGCCGGGAGGTAGGCAGCCCAACCAACGCCGCTAGTTCCGCGCCCCGCCGCGCGACCGCTGCGCCGCGCCACCTGCCGGGCTCGCCGCCGTAGCGCCCAGTTCGCCGGGCCGCCGCCAGAGCGCGCCACCAGTGCACGCCGCGCTGCTGGGCGCTGGACCCGCTGGACCTTCCCCGAGGGAAGGACCGACTCGACGACGGCGGGAGCACCGCCGAAACGGCACAGCACCGCCGCCAACAAGGCCACCAAGTGCCTGCACGAAACTGCGCGCCGACAACGACAACGTTTCCCTCCCCGATAAATCTAATCCCTTCGTTATCAGCGTACCTGCGTTCGACGCGGCACGACCGGCCGGCCGCTGCCCGGACGCGGCGGCGGCCTGCTGCACGCCGTCCGCCCCACCGTGATGGAGACATCGACCCAGTGCACCGCCACGGCAGCGCCACGGCACCGCCACGCGAGGTCGCCGCTCCGGGCACCGCCGAGCTCCGCGATGTAATTTGGCAGTGGCGCGGGGTCCCGCTTTGGGCATGGCCTGCATCGCCGTGAACGGCCCGGCCAGTCGGCCTGCCTTGCCCAGCTTGCGCAACGCGGCACTTATCCATGCCATACCGCACCGATATCTCGATTCGATAACCGACTAATCTCGATGAGCGAGAGAGAGAGAGAGGACGATCCTGACCAGGAAAGCCACTCTCCTCCCCTGTCTGTCTCCAGCGACGCGGAAAGTTCAATGGGCCCGACTCTCGTCGCCCGGACGGAGAATGGACGTTGCTGGATGTTGCAGTGTAGTGTCGTGTCGTGTGGTGTGGTGGTGTCGTTGTTTGGCCACGTGCTCCAGACAGTCCCGTCCGGTGCAGTCCGGATACCCACCTCGTCTCCGCGGGCTCTTGGTCCGCTGCGTCCGCACCTTCCTGGACCAGCTGGTGGCTCGCCGGCGGCGCGGCTGGTCTCTGAATCTGCAATGAACAAAACGATAATGAGGATCAAGCCGTTGTAAAGGCAAAACGATCACCGCATTCGATTGCTCGACTCTGCTCTCTCCCTTCGCTCTGGCTGCGACGGCGCGTTCGCGTGCGTCGCTCGGCGTTCCCGGAGGGCTTTTCCCGGACGTCGGCACGTCGCCGACGTGGCCGTGCCGTCGCCATGCCGTGCCATGCCATCATGCAGCACGCGGCGCAGAGAAGCGCGTTTAGCCGCCGGCCCGTTGGGTGCTCATTACGGCCTCATGCGGCTCATCCCGGCCCACGCACGTCCTCGCTGTGCTGTCTCTCTCGCACTCACGGGCCCGCCCGGCCGCCTGGCCCGCCCGCAGCGGTGCGAGAGAGACAGCGAGTGCAGTCGGACTGCAGGCCGAGCCACCCTTCACAGGGCCTCTCGCGAATAATCTCAACTCCTTTTTTTCCTGCTTCAGTGAGTCAGGCAGGCAGGAGGCACCGTCTCCCGAGGAAAGGAATACCGCTGTCGCGGCCACGACGACGACGACGCCAATGTGATTCGCGGTTAGGAGGCGGTCGGCGTCGGCGAGGATGAAGGACAAAAAAGAAGAAGCCTGTGACACACTTCCTGGGGATCCGTGTGACAGGGTCCGCTACCGGCAAATGCGGTGGCGTTGAACTTGGCCTACAGCTGGGCCGCTGCCTTGCCCCGTCCTACCGCACGCCCCGCCCCGCCCCACCCCGCCCCGCCCCGCCACGCGCACGGCGAAGCCATGGATTACTCATTCAGGCGGCACTGCGCCTTCAATTTGCTACGGCCGAATGAATCACTGCCGAGGAGCAGCAAGCTCGGCAAGCTGCACTGCCCGCAGCAAGTGGCCCGCTGCGCACGCTGCACTGCACGCTAAGCGACACGGGAGGAGCGGCCGGCAAAAAGCCCGGCCCGGCCAGACAGACGCCCACCCTGGGAAAGCAGCGCCAGCCAGCGCCAGCCCGGATTACCCCATTAACTGCCTGCGAAGGGGTAGAGAAGAAGCCCCCCCCCCCGTTTTGCGGATCGGGCGGACGCGTGCTCTAGCCTTTAATGGTAATGGTAATGCGGTGTAGGCACGCCCGCCGCGCACGAGAGTTTGGCGGGCCAGCCTACCCTACATTCTGCAGGCGCTCAGCGGCCGCCTGCGGTGTAGGCACGCCCGCCGCGCACGAGTGGTTGGCGGGCGCGCCTACCCTCCGGATGGCAGGCGCCGTACGACGGAGGGGCGGCTTCAGGACGACGTCGAAGGAGGAAAAGGTGGAGGAGGAAGCGGCGGGCGACCTCGGCCGTGACTGCGGTGCTGTGTGCGGCGTGCACTGCGGTGCCGGTTTCGCCGTGTGGGAACTTTGGATGAATGGCGGCATGGCGGCGTGGCCGGGCTGGCTGGTGCAGTGGCGGTGCGTATGGATGAAGTAGGGCCGCCGGCCGGCCGATCCTAATCACGGCCCGCCCTGCAATCCAGGAGGGTGACTCCGAACTTCCGTCTCTCTGTCCGTCTCGCACCCATGCCACGTTCCGTGTAGGTGCGAGAGAGCGCGACGACACGCGGTTCGGAATCGGTCCGCTGGTTCGGCCGACCGCGGTCGGCCGCCTCCCAATCAGCCCCTCTTCACTCACTCCGACTGCCCGGGTCCCGGGTCGGGTCGGGCCGTCCGAACCGGGCTGGACCGATCCCGCCTGGAACGAACGGCCCGGCCGGGCGCCCAGTCATCACCGCGGCGTCCACTAGTTCGTCGCGGACCGGTCGCCCATTCATCGCGGCCGATACATTGTGCAGGACGCTGTTTCCGATACCCTCCGCTCGGCCGGGCCGCTCGGCCTTTGCTCGGCCTGCACCGTGACTGTCGGCTTCAAATCCAGCAGACAGGCCGACATTTTCGCGGCGTCTCTGTAAACAGGTGGTATGGACACTCACACTACTATGGTCTCCTCGTCGTCCTGGTCCTCCTGGTCCGTGGGCGTGTTGTCCAGGTCCACCCACTCGTCGCTGGTCTCGGACAGCGGCACTCGGCCCGGCACCACCGCCCCGGGCTGGAACGGCAGCTGCAGCGCGGAGGCCACTGGAAAAGAAATAAATCACTCTTAGATTTTCTGTTAGCACACGTCACCATCGCAGGAAATGGCAAGTTGGTCACACTGTACCGATATTATTTAAAGAGAGCGCGAGGTTTTTTTTTGCGGTGTAATCGGCTCGTGCCGCATTGTGTTGGCGGCCCTGTGCTGGCGGCTGGCGGGTCAGCCGCTGCTCCGCGCTCCACGCGACGTCAATGCCTCGGTGCCTTGGTGCCGCCGCAAACATTCCGAGGCACCCGCCAAAGCGCGCACCGCGCCAAGCGCCGACGGCAAAAGCGATACCGGGACAGACTGTGGGGCGGGGCGGGCGAAACCGCAACGCCAGTGCCGCCAACTCGCAGCATCCCAAAAGGCGCTGCAGGGCTGCCAATCACGCCATACGTGACGTACTGACGTGCTTCCCTTCGCGGCAACCACGCCCCTCGCCCACCGAGAAACGCGTCTAATTCAATCCAGTGCAGGGCCCAAAATAACTAGACCCACTTTTATCCTGTTCGTAATTTTCTTTTTTTTTGCGTTTTCTCGAGTAAGGCGGCAGCACACTGGCGTCGACAAACATTACCATACGTCACAGTGTGTGTGCGCCGTGCGCGCGCGTGTCGAGTCCCAGGGCTTTTCAGGCCGCGACCGCGGCTTGCCCCGTTCTCAGACACACCTGAGACCCGAGCCCTCGCGGCGCCTGTTAACAAGGGCGAGGCGCGAACGCGCGGCGCTGGGCGATAAACGGGAATCACCGCGAGGAGATACCGCGAGACTGACGACGACGCGACGGCCTTGCCACACTTTTTGAAATCGTTTCAGTCCGTTTCGGGAACGAGTGCGAGGCGCAAGGCACCGCCCCCCACGCTGCTTTCGTTCCTTTAGCCGCGCTTTCCCCGCGACCTCTGATTGGCTGGCGCCTCTGCGGTTCCCCTCAATCACACGCAGTGCACCGCCACCGCGAAGCGTACCGCGCACCGCGCACCGCGCACCGCGACGTGCCCGGTGATGGCCTCCCCGCGTCCGCGACGGCCGCGGCCCGGGCCAATGCTGAGGTTTTGACCCAGCCAATGGGCCATTGTGTGTGTGAGTGTGTGTGTTCCGGGTCAGGGCTGGGCCGCCGCCGCGCCGCCGCGCGTGCCCAGCGTACCGCAGTAGACCGACTCCGAGCGGGCGCTCTCTCTCTCGCGCACATGGGGCGTACCGTGTGGGTGCAAGGGAGATAGATGGGAGTCCGAGGGGGATTCAGTCAGCAGCGCGGGCCTGCTGACCTAGGGCACCATCCTCGCGCCTCGCTTTCGACTCGACTCACCTGCCATGGCCTGCTCGTCCGTCAGCGGGTCCCCGTAGATGCTGTTGATCTTGCCGCAGTAGCTGCTGGCGTTGCCGGCGCTGCTGCTCCTGCTGCTGCTGCTACTGCTGCAGCTGCTGGGGTGGCGGCCGACGCCCACGCCCCTGCCGGGGACGCCGGGTGGCAGCAGGGGGAGGCTGCCGAGCCGCGGGGGCGGCGGCCCGACGCGCGCACCCCTCGGCCGCACCAGGTAGATGGCCTCGTAGACGCCGCTGGTGGACACGGCGTCGTCGGCCACGCCGGCCGCAGCGGCCAGCCCTTCCGCGGGCGTGTCCGGCCGGCGCTCCGACAGCACGTCGTCGTAGATGTTGTCGCCCTCCTCGTCTTCCTCCTCGGCGACGGGTAGTGGTGGAAGTGGCGGCGGTGGCGGTGGCGGCAGCGGCGCGCTCGCGGCGCTGTCCACGAACTGGTAGCCCTCGCCCTCGCAGTCGTCGTAGTTGCCGCCGCCGCACGTCTCGTACATCTCCTGGGCGTCCTTCTTCTTGGCCTCCACGCCGATGTCATCGTAGATGTTCTCGTCGCACGCCGGCGCCACCACGTCGTCGTACAGCTGAGGTTCGTCGCCGCTCTCCGGCGGCACGTCGTCGTCGTCCTGGCGAGTCTCGTCGGGCTGCACCAGGGCGGGGACGGCGCGGAAGGACGGCCCGTCGTTGGCAGCCGATGGCGGGTCTGCCTTCGGCTGCGCCTTGGGGGGCGCCGGCGCCGACCGCCACAGGAACGAGTGGTTGGCCTTTAGCTTGGCGCTGTCCTTGTTCTCCGGAACTTCAGGCGCAGCCGGAGCAGCCGGTGCAGCCCTGGTGGGGACCGCGGCGTTGTTGCGCGCGGGCAGGGCTGGCGGCGCCACCGCTTCTGACCCTTCCGCACTGGCAGGTGACGGAGACGGGGAGGCGTTCGCCCGGTCCAGGATGTTCTTCAGGGCGCTGGCGTTTTCGGGCACAGGGGGCGGCGTCGTGGAAGGTAGCGGCGGAATGGTATCGATGTCGTCATCGTCGAAGTTGACGACGACGAGCCGACGCTCCTCGGACCGCATTGTCTTGGCGGTCTTGAGCAGCGTCTTGTTGGCTTGCGAGCGCGCTCGCAGCGCCTCCCGAGACCGCTTCGAGCTGGCGGTGGGGCTGGCGGCGGGGCTGGCGGCGGGGCTTCCCACCGGCGTTGGCATCGTTGGCACCTCCTTTTCCTTTGGCACATCAGATATGGCAGCAGCCTGCACGGGGGCGGCGGTGGAGGCGGGGATGGCCTCCATTTCGGCAGTGCCGTCAGGGCGACCTTGCGCGGGGGTGGGGGTTTGCGTGGCGCCGTCCTGGGTGGCAGGCCGGGCGGGCCTCGAGGGCGAAGGCGCCTCGCGTGCTTCGGCCGCTTCGGCGGGGTGGGAATGCACCGGGTGTTCCTCGGCGGCGGGCTCGAACATCTTGACGGCGGCCTTCACCTTGTTGCCCCCAGCGCCGACGCGCTGCTTGGCGAACGAAGGCCTCTTCCTGACCAGCGCCACCTTGGACGGCCGGGCGTCGTGAGTGTCCTGAAGCTGGTGGATCTTGGAGCTGAGCGCCACCACCTCGTCCATGATGGCGGGCGGCACGGACCGGAGCACGCTGGCGCGGTTCCCCACGATGATCTTGATGTCGGACGGGCGCGCCGCCGACGCCAGGGTCGCGGTGCCGGCCGCGCTGGCCTCCTCCAGCGAGTTGAACTTGGTGGCCAGCGTCTGCACGCGGCTGGTGCTGTTGGTGCGAGCTACGCGGCTGGACGACGGGATGGTCACCTTGACGGCGGCGGCGACGGAGGGCACGTGCTGCCGGGACTTGAGGTTGACGCGGTGCGCGGTCACCTTGAAGCTGGGCTTCCTCGCGGGACTGGCGGCGCGCCGGGACCGCCCCTCCGCGTCCGACGACTTCCTGGACAGGGCTTCCCGGCGCAGCGACGTCGCCGTCCCCGTGGCGCTGAGCGCGCCCAGCGCGCCCCGCTCCCTCCACCAGTCATCCTTCCGCGCGTCGCCCGACTTGGGCCGCGCGGCCCCGTTGGGCGTCGCGGCGGCGGCGGTGGCCGCGGCCGTCACCGTGGCCACGGCGGCCTCCTTCTTCGCCTTGGTCGTCAAGGCCGGCTTCTTGGTGAGCGACGGCGGCTCCGGCTTCTTGGCGGACGGTGGCGGCACCCCGCGCACCGCCTTGGCGTCCACGACGCCAGCGGCGGGCCGCACCTCCTTACGGGCGGAGGTCTGCTGGTTGCGGACGTTGTTGACATTCTTGTTGTTGTTGGCGCTGGCGAGCTTCGGCTTGGCCGGCACCCCGGGGGGCTCCTTCTTGTCGAGGGCGGGCAGGTCGATGAGCCTGCTCAGCGCGTTCACCGTCTTCTTGCTGTTGAAGCTGTTGATACCGTCCTGCTGGTCGCTGATGACCTGCTGCAGGAACGACTTGAGCGCCGGCCGCACGCCGCCCGCCTGCTCGACGCCATCCTCGTCCGCGGCCTTGGCCTTCATGGCCTCCTCGCCGCACGCGCCGAGGCCGGGGCCGAAGCCGAGGCCAGGGCCGAGGCCAGGGCTGGGAGGCAGCCTGGCGCGCCACCCGCCATTCACAGCGGCACCATCTGCGACAAAGGCAAAAAAAAGAACACAGATTAGATTCCACTTGCAGACAGAGGGAACCATTGGATACAATTCACTGCCCGCAGGAAAAAACCGCGCCGCAGTCGCCTCAACGTGGCACGCCTAGCGCTCGCCAGCGAGCCACACAGTGGGCCAGCGCGACGGTACAGTCCCAAGTCCAGTGCACACACAGGCCATCTCCTAAACGAGCAAACAGCCGTCCGTGCCCGTCCGCGTGCCGCTGCGCTGGCTAGCTGGCTTTTGCGCAGACTGTACATCATCATTGACACGCACTTCGCTTCGAGGAAACGCTCCGGCAGCCCGCCTATTACGGCACACCAGTCAACAAAGGCCATTTTTCCGGCAAAAAAATAATTCTTTCACAAAACTGCAGAGAATACATTGTGCGCGTGCAACGAAAGCAAGCGCTCGGTTTTCCCTGGGCCCGCCGCCGTCATTTCATTTTGAGTAATCGTCTTCAATTAGATCACAGGGGCGCGGACCACGCCGTCGACGTCGCGCCGCTCACACGTCGGGGCGCTGCGGGGCGCGGCGGGGCGTGGTGGGGCGGGGCGCGGCGTGGCGGGGCGGGGCGCGGCGGGGGCCTAATGGCGGATTGTTTCCCTGGCCGCCCCGAAGGAGTCCGAGTGGAGCACTGATGCAATCGCGTGGAAAGCGGAGCTGCATATTAGGAACCGCGCGGCGCGGAGGGGCGGCGGGGCGGGGCGGGGCGGGCGGGAGGCCGTGCCGTGCCCTTATGGCACTGGACCCGCGCAGTCCTTCGCAGGGCAAGGCGGAGGGGAACATGACAATGGGACCCTCCACGTCGGCCTCCAGCTCCATGATTCATACACTGTTCCAACGCCATCGGGCACTCTGCTGCGGGCAGGCCGTCCGTGCGAGGCTAGGCCCTGCTAGGCCCTGCTAGGCACTGCTGGCCACTAGGCAGGGCCAGGCCCACAATAATGCAAATACCGCTCGAAACGCTCGCGCGGCGCGGCGGCCAGTTGCCGGACGGGTGTTGCGTGGCACTGCACTGCTGCGCCAAGCAAAGCGCCAAGCCCTTTCCGAGCAGCTCGCCGCTCAGCGCAGCAACAGCTCCCTGCCCAGCTCCCCGGCGACGCCAAGCCAAGCGCCAAGCGCCAAGCACGCGGTGAAAGGGTTCATACGCGGCCTGCCGGCCTGCCGGGCCCATGCTGGGCCGCTAGGGCCGCCCGCGGGGCACTGTGGGACAGAGCGAGGCAGCGCCGGGCCGGGCCGGCCGGGGCGAAAGGTGTTTATGGCGGCTTTTGACGCCACACAGGCGGCCAGGCCGGCCGCGCGCCGCCACCCGATTTTTATCTGAATGCAGCGTGAAGGCGCGGCCCGGCAGTGCCCACGCGATACGTCGTACCCGCAATTAAGGACACCTGCCCGCACCTGCCACCAGTGTGCCGGCGCGACGCGCCACGCGTAAGAGGGCCTAAACAGCTGCACCGACGAGCCCGCCATGGTGCTGCCACCTGCAGTCCACCAAGCCGCCCCGGAGGAGTTCTCTAAAATCACACTCTCTCACACACATAAGCGGCAGACATCACCCAGGTTGCCCCCAAGGGCTGCGAAGAAAGCGGGAGAGACTACTGCGATGTGACAGACTCACGTCACAGACACACACTCTTATAAAACACGCACACACACACACACACACACACACACACACACACACACACACACACACACAGCTAGCTTCGCAATCGACACGGAAAGCAAAAAAAAAAAAAATCTGCGCACGCAAGTGTTGGCGTCACCTGGCTCATATTTCTGATCCAGGCAGATCGGCCGGAATGGGTGGCAGTGCCTCCGAACGCCTTTCTCCGCGTGCTGCGAGCCGGACAGCCGGACGGACAGACAGACAGACAGACAGACAGACAGACAGACAGACGCACGGACACCGCGCGGTGAGTTACCGCGGCGGACTTCTGCTTCGCCTTCCGTCCGTTCGCCCGGGCCTCGCTGCCGCCGTTTCACTGCTGCCCTCCGGCCCGCCTGCCCGCGCAATTTTTCATATTCAGCACCCCATCGCTCACGCCTGGCGTGGCCGGCGTGGCGCCGCCGCCGTGCGGGGCTTCCGAAGCCTTGGGGGGCGGGGCGCGACTCGAACTCGTCAAGGGGCGGCGCCCCACAGTGCGCCTTCTTTCTTCCATCGCGAAAGTGATTGAGCCGCGAGTGCCTTACCGAGGCCGTGGCTTGGCGGCGCCAGTTAGTTAGGTAACGCCGCATCACCGGCCGCAGCGCCCAAACAGTGACGCGACGAGGAGCAGGACAGCACCCGTCTCCCTCGCACTCATCAGCGTGCCGTACGGGTGCGAGAGAGACGGGGCGACGACGCTGTGTTCGGAACATCGAGCTGCTGGCTGGCCGAGGCAAGGCGACACCCGATACTCCGCCGGCCGCGGAGAAGACCCACCGTTCCCCGGAAACGCACACCGCGTCGCCGCGTCGCGTTGGAGCAGCGAGGCATGCCCGCCCGCTCGGCCGCGTTCGCCGGGCAATTCGTCAAAACGGCGAGCAGGGAGCGGCTCGGTTCGGCTCCGGCCGAGTTTGGGCCTGGAAGGACTTTCCGGGAGGTCCGCGTCGAAGAGATTCATCTATTCACGCGGCTGCTGGACTGGGCTTGGGAGATTCGCAGTCGGATACAAGACAGCCCGGCTCGGGTTTTACTACCGACGGCAGTACCAGCGGGTCAATTTGGTTAGAAAAAAAATCAACGAAAAAATCCATAACTATAGGCTTGAAATTAATTTTAAAAGCAGTGACGCACCCGGACAGGGTAAGTGATGAATCGCGAGGCCCGGAGCGACCTGACCCGGCCGTGCCGAGCCGTGGCGGAGTGATGATTGTTAACTACTGTTAACGCCCCGGCGGATCAAAAGCAGTCCAAGCAAGGTGCCGCGCAGGCTGAGGCGCGCTGAGGCCCGAGGTGGCCGCCCGATCCCAGTAAGTGATTCCTGTGCTGCAGCGGCGGCAGCCTAAGCCCCCGGCCGCCACCGCGCCGCCGCCGCGCGCCGCCTCCCGCCCAGGACGCCGTTGTCGTTATTGATGATCGCAGGGAGATCAGTCAGCTCGGGGCAGGTAATCAATGTCCTCACACACACGCACACACACTCGCGCGACTACGCCAGAGTGACTGCGAGTGAGTGTGTGAAAAGGCAAGGGCGTCGCCGACCGCCATTACAGCGCACCGACGGAGAGAAACGGATTTTATTTTTCCCGCCGCTGTTTGAGGGTTTATTTTGGCGCTGTCCGGCCGCTACCGGTGTTTGCGTCGTGGGCACGGCCGGCCAGTGGAGTGGGCGACACGGCGACACGTGTGTTTGACAAACCCAGAGAGCGACAATATAGACGTAAGCCGTTCTGAGCGCTGCTGAGTCACCGAGTCGCTCTCTCTCTGTCACACACACACACAACGAGTGCGCAATTTCGCCCGATCACCAGCTCTCCGTCGTCGACACCGAGGCCTAGTCCAGGCCGCCTCGGGTTGGCCTAGGCCGGCCCGGGCCCTCCGTTTCCCGCGAGTAGACACAGCACCAGGAGCAGGCTCGGACTGGCCCTCAAAAGGCCCCGGCGGGTAAGACCGCAAAAGGCCCCCGATCATCATTGTTTTTAACCTTCATGACCAACTTTTTAAATGCCTTTTAATGCAACTAGATTGGACACAGTGGCCGCCCAAAGTCAGCAAAATCAGCAAATTTCCGAGATTCGACCGCTATTTGACCAACTTTGGTCCCAAAATCGTTGCGGTCAAAGGCAAAATCGTTGTGGTCAACGTCTTCCCGACACAGGGCATGAAAGAGTAGGGTCTTAAGAATACTAGGACGTCGAGGGAGGCCTTTTAATGCAACTAGAGTGGACACAGTAGCCGCCCAAAGTTAGCAAAGTCAGCAAATTTCCGAGATTCGACCGCTTTTTGACCAACTTTGGTCCCAAAATCGTTGCGGTCAAAGGCAAAATCGTTGTGGTCAACGTCTTCCCGATACAGGACATGAAAGAGTAGGGTCTTAAGAATACTAGGGCGTCGAGGGAGGTCGTTGGCCGCAACTAGATCGGACGCAGTGGCCGCTCAAATTCAGCGAAAACGGCTACTTTCGGAGATTCAATCACTTTTTGACCAACTTTGTGACGTTACTGGTCGCAAACCCGAAGGCCCCGACAGATTTTTCTGCCTGTCTGCCCTGGCCAGTCCGAGCCTGACCTGGAGTCACAGGCAGAGGCAGCCCGGCGGTCCAGGCCCTGGACTCCAGCCCTGGACGCGAGGCAACGCGAGGCGTGACCGGAACACTTTCATCCTGCCCATTTTCCCGCCCGCAACGGATTCTCCGAGAGTGGTCGAGTGTGTGTTTGTGTGTGTGGATGAGTGAGTGTGTAAACAGCTTGCACCCAATTCTCTGTCGAGGAATTGAAGAGCCCGCGCCTACACTCGCCAAACTGCCAAGAGGCTCACGCATGCTCGCGCCCGGATCCCCAAGCAGTTGGAGTGGAACCCGCCGCCACGCTGCCGCGGCCTCCAGGAGCAGGGGGCAGGCCCAGCGTGACCAGCCCCGTGGTGCCCGGTGTCTCCGGGAAGGCGTTTCCGAAAGAAAGCAGAGTCGCAAGCCGCAACGAGTGGACCAAGTTTGGACACCAGGCTTATGGAGTGCTCAGAAATTTTTCGAAGGAGAATGGACAAGCCATGCTTTTTCCTAGATTCAGGTGTAATAAGTTGTAACCGCGGCGGAACGAGGATCGCCCCCCGCCTGGAGGCCCGGCGTCGACACCCGAAACCCAGCCGCGGACGCGTGCGCCACCACGACGACCACGACGATGACGGAGGCGCCTCGGGTCGCGGCGCGCGTGAGGGAGAGTGGCGGAGGGCGGTCCGGCGGGCTGGTCTGGTTGTCAGCGGACACCTACCCAATTTGCCTGCGCCGCCGCGCCCCGCCCCGCAGTGAGAACGCCGGGACAAGCCGGCCAATTACCCGCACCA